TCCGAATTCTTTCCCACGCCAGAAAAGAAAGTCGAAATTATAGAAGAGAGAACTTCTGGGGAAAATATTCCCTGAGGTAGGAATGGGTGATAAGGCCCAAATTTGCCTCGAAGGCGGACAGTCAAAGAGAAGATGGTTTATAGATTCTTCAGGACCCCCACAACGAGGGCATCCTTTCTCATTGCCAATATGACGATAGGATAATCTCTGGAATGTGGCTAGACATCCTGAGACACATTGCCACGCGAAATGCATAAGCTTTCGCGTAGTTTTTAACTTCCATACCTGTGCCTGAAGTGCCGAAACACTAGGTCCCTGAAAAGGGGGGTCACAGGTAGGGCGAGATAACTCTCGCGCTGCCCAGTATCCTGATTTAACAGAATAGTTTCCGGATTTTGTATACGACCAGCTAAAACCATCGCTCAAGTTGGTGCGACTTGGCCGAATCCCGAGAATCAGTGGAATGTCAGCGGGATCAATCAACGCTTGAAGGCGATCCAGCTTCCAAAGCTGTGTTGATTGATCAATCAGATCATTGACATAGAGAAGAGGCTCTCTAGTGTCAAGGAGGCTCTTGGCAGCTCTCGCAGGAATAGTGGGAATCCATGGGTCCTCCCAGACTTTGGTTAGCATTCCGGAGCCGATGGTTCGCCGATGACCCGAGACAAGAAGTGGTTTGGAAGCCATTATGCTTCTCCAGCCATATGAAGGCCGATTCGAGCTTCCTATGTGTAAAGGGTCGCTAAAGCGAAAATAACGTCCCCTTAAGACCCTACTTAAAAGAGAGTTAGGAAATCTGATAAGGCGCCATAATTGCATAGCCAATAAGGCTAGATTAAATTCCTCTAGCGTTCTAAAGCCAAGACCACCTTCAGCATAAGGTGTACAGAGTTTATCCCATGCAATCCAGTGAATGCCATTGCTATTTTCGTTAGTTTTCCACCAGAAGTTTGCAATGGCACTGCTTAATTTTGAACGAATTGCTTTGGGGAATAGGAAACACGACATTACATATGTCGGAAGAGCCTGCGCAACAGACTTTATGAGGACTTCTTTGCCACCTTTGGACAAGAACTTTGCGGACCAAGTATTAAGCCTTTTTTGAAGTCGGTCTCTGACAAAGGAGAATACTTGAACTTTTGAGCCATGAATCTGTTCAGAAAGGCCGAGGTACGATCCCATACCCCCATCGCGATGAATTCCAATTACCGCTTTAATGGTATTCCGGGTTGAGTTATGATGTCCATGCTTAAATATTTCATTATGTCTTGTTTGATTGTAACATACTATTATTGTTAGAGAACCAACGAATTTAGTTTTAGCTGTTTTGTCACATTAGCTGGTAATGATTTAAATATGAAACTCCATTTTAAAAAGAATATACAAAAAAAAAAAAATATAAACCCCAAAAAAAAAAAAACGAAGGGGAGAGAATCTCGATCAAAGGCTTCGAAGCTCCTTTTTTTTGGTGTGTGTCTAAATCTCTCACGCACGACGTTGAGAGAGCCCTTTCCTTGCGATCTTATTATTGTCTTCCTCTGCTCCGATCGATTTCAAAATTCAGCTTCAATGTATGATTTTTCGCTCTTACCTTCAATTTCTGGCATCTTCTGATAAACTTTTCATTGCATCCGATTCCGAAATTAGGGTTTTTTTTTTTTTTTTCTTTTTCAATTTTCAAAATTTAGGCAGATTATGGTTTGTGATTTATATGAATTGAAAGCTGGGGGGTTCTTGAGTTTGCTGTAGAATTTGGTCGTTCTTCTCTCCATCTTTTCATTGTTCGATACTACCTACAATGATTTCGATCACTTTTTTTTTTAAATCTTTCGTTCATTAGAGTTGACTATTTGGATTGACAAAGTGTACACCTTTACGCCAGAATCATCATACCCACAATGTGATTTGACTTATCAACACAAGCTTTTAAATTTGTAAAATCAGTCGTAGTGGTTGTTGTTGTTATCAGCGAATCTAATGAGAATTTGACCCTTTTTTTTTGCAGAACGTGAATTTATTGATGGTTGTTGAAGCTGTGTAGCTAGCTATTAATAGTTGGGGCTATGCATTCAAAGAGTTGCTGCTCGTGAAGAAGGAAGCTGAGGAATTGGGGTTATAATATAGTTTATCTATAAGGTTTTCAGTCTTGGACATGTCGCGTTTCGATTGCAGTTGTTATGATATCTCTAGTTGTATTATTCATCTCGCTGAATGGCATCCTTTGGAATAGTCAAGTTCATCGGGCTTGAAGCCCTCAAAACCCCTTTTATCGTGGGGTAAGATTTCTATTTCTACCGAGGTTTTTGTGTGTTTATTTATTTGTATGCTCAATTCAGGATGTTAATGTTGATGTCACTTTTTTTTTCTTTGTACAGGTTCCTCAGTTAACTTGAGGATTTTATATTTTCATCATACATTGAGGAGCAATTTGTTTTTTTTTTTTTTTTTTTGAGAAGTAGATCATGTTTCGTGATAGTATTTTGTTTGCCCGTACCATGGGTTGCTTTGGATGCTTTGGCACTTCTGGTGGTAGAACCCGACAGCCGCCCAAGCCCTACGATGATGATACATATTCATGTGATAGTGATGTAACTAGCACTGCGAGAGGAGAAGAAGAAGAAGATGAAGAAGAAGTAGAGCAGAAGAGCCGCTCTAAACGATCTGAGGAAATTTTGAAATATAGATTAGATAATGGATTAATCTGCAGGCATATTCCAGTGAGAGAAACTAATGAACTTATACGTGGAGAGGTAAGTGACTCCTTGTGCGTATCTCTCATATTATTGCTTCTTAGAATATCCCATGGCGTGTCTATACCAATTTATTTGTTGTTTGATATGTAGGATGAAAATGGTGACAAGACAATCAATGAGTATGTTCGCGTATGTAAAATTGGAGCTGGTAGCTATGGTAAAGTGGTAAGTGTGATCTCATTTACACAATACTATCCAATCCTTTCAGTGTATCCTTCAAAAGTATCCCGGGTTTTGGATTCCAGAACATTATTTTTTTTTTTTTTGCATTCACAACAGGTTTTATATCGAAGCACGTTAGACGGCCAGTATTATGCTATCAAGGTAACCTCCTGTTTCTTTCCCTCATTACCGCGTGAAACTGAAACCTTTTTTTGGTTTTGTTTTGTTTAGCTGGTGTTATTCATTTGAACTATGATCCTTCAATATAGTACAAATTATACAAGTTAATTTGTTTAATTGATCACTTATATGGCTTGTAGCTCTCTGACATATTATGATTTAATACTTGGATTTCCAGGCATTTCACAAGTCCCATTTATTAAGGCTAAGGGTTGCACCTTCAGAGACTGCTATGAGTGATGTTCTTCGTGAGGTATCCTTAGTTTTGGCATTGCTAAACAGCATTTCTATTTGTTTTATTTTAGAGAAGTTATGTTTACGCTCATTTATCTCATCACTTTCAGGTTATGATTATGAAAATTTTGGAGCATCCTAACATCGTTAACCTCATTGAGGTGATAGATGACCCAGAAACTGATCATTTTTACATGGGTACTTAATTTCCTTTCTCTTTTCTACTGTTTCGATATATACTCTCTGTGGAAAGAGCCTTTAATCTTACAATGTTTGTCTTCTGGTTTCTCCTAGTTCTCGAATACGTTGATGGAAAATGGGTATATGACGGGTCTGGACCGCCGGGTGCTCTCGGAGAGAAAACTGCTAGAAAGTATTTGCGGGATATAGTTACTGGCCTGATGTATCTTCATGCTCATGTATGATCTTCATTGTTTAGCGTGCTTCTCTCCCTTCATGTTTCATCACCTAATACTGTCTTGATACTATTCTATGGGGGAAAAACAGGATGTAATTCACGGGGACATTAAACCCGACAATTTGTTGGTTACTAGTAGCGGTACAGTGAAGATAGGAGATTTCAGTGTCAGCCAAGTATTCAAGGTAATAAATGATATGTTAATTTTTTATCTTCATTAATTCTTGATATGCATCTAGTGACCTGAGTGCTAGCATCGATCTGTTGTTGCTACAGGATGATGATGATCAGCTGCGTCGATCTCCCGGGACTCCAGTCTTCACTGCTCCAGAATGTTGTTTAGGTCAGCTTCCTTTCTAATATCTCTCTAAGCTTGGTCTTAACTCCAAGTGTATGGAGAATAAGCGAGTATCTTTTTCTTTGGATTAAAATCAGTATCAGGTATAACGTATAGTGGCAGAGCTGCGGATACATGGGCAGTGGGAGTTACTTTGTATTGTATGATATTGGGACAATACCCGTTTCTTGCGGATACTCTTCAGGACACGTACGACAAGGTAGGTTTTGCATCTGATCAATGCTTTCGTTGGATCTTAAGAAATCTAATTGAAAATCTTATAACCTCCAATGGTTCATAATCTGTTATCTCTTACAGATTGTTAACAACCCTTTGATAATCCCGGATGGATTGAATCCTCTTCTTAGAGATTTGATCGAAGGTCTCCTTTGCAAAGGTAATTTATTTCGTTCCTTTTGGTGTAGTTAAACTGTACAAAGCATAGAATTGAGTCCTTATGTGTGTATACCAATGGCGGTTTTGCAGATCCGAGCCAGAGAATGACACCGAAGAATGTGTCGGAGCATCCATGGGTCATTGGAGAAGACGGGCACGTCCCTGAGTATTTTTGTTGGTGCAAACGCAATGCTGCCTCAAAGATTGAAGAAGAAGAAGCTAATGGGATCTCTGAAACCTCAGATCCTAACTAAAAAAACTCGGATGCTTTTGATCGTTTTAAGAAATGTACAAGCTTTGAAGAATAGATGCATCTACTTAACCGTACAAGTTTGACCTCGATTGAGGTCATTGTTTTTCTTTTTATTTAATACTAGATAATTTTCATGTTATTGTCCATTGTTTATAAATTTCAAAACAAATTGATTTTGATTGTGACTTTGATTTACCTTTTTCTCAAAAGTAAACATATCTCTCAATTATTTACTTTAAAAGTGCATGTATAACGTAAGTACTTTTTTCTTTTTTTTGTGCAAATTATAACGCATGTATTTAATATCTAACAGTTATCTATGTAACTTTAAAAGCTAACACAATTTTATAATTACTCAAACTTCTAACCATAAAAGCTAAAACCACAACATCAGGAAAAAGAAAACTATAAAGCAACCATTATTAGTTGTCAATTTATTCAACCAAAAAAACGTATTTCATATTTAACTGATAAAGTAGAAAAATCATCAAAAACGACGATGTCGTCAAAAATGAAATTTGCGGCTCTTCTCATCGTTGTAATTTCTCTCCTTGTTAACAATGTGAAATCCACTCGAGAGATAAACCTCTCCGGGGAAATTTGTGGATTCTATGAACCTGCTGTATTTTGTAAGAGAAAAGAAGATTGTTTTGAGAAATGTGGAGGCAGGCCTTCTAATAAAGTTTTCTGTGTGCGAACAGGACATGGCTTTGATCGTGTGTGTTGTTGTCGCGCTTAACATGTAATTGAACTGAGATCTTATTTTACTACAAACATAGAAATTATATATTTTTATCAATAAATTATTATACGTTTTTTTCTGCACATTTTCTCTCAATTTATTTCTTAACATTTTGTATGTGTGTCGATTAAAAATAGATACTAATGTAACATTTCTTAACATTCAATCCGTTTTCATATAATATAAATTTAACACTTAAAATATTATTTTCGGATTTATAACTATGTTTTGATTTATGTAAACCGTTTGATTCAACTAAAATTTTAATTACAAAATATTTTTTTAGGAGATTGGATACAGTTAATAAACGAGAATTTTTATGAAGGCCTTTCATATATAAATTTTGGGGTAAAAAATGGAATACCTAGAAAGTTTGGGATAAAAACGAAAGAGATAAATACAAGCTTTTAATCTTATATTTAAAAGTTTATGGAATAGACATTAATACAAGCTTCTTGTCTCTTGTTTGGCTTCTTCACTTGTTTATATGTAAGCAACAACCCTACCTTCTTCTTCTTCTTCTCTCTTTACCATTTTTTTTTCAGTTTCTCGCTTTTCCCAGTCCACTCTCTCTCTCTACCTTTTGACTCCATGCCGGTCGCCGGCGAAATATTCAACGGGTAATTAATTTCCGGGGATTGACCCGAGACGACGAGATCTAAATCTACCAGTGGAGTTATTTTTTGGGGGGGTAAGCTTGGAGATTAGTCTTCTCTTCTTCGTTTTTTTTATTGCTTGATTTTGTTCATTCTCTCTTGCCCTGTATGATCCTGGTTTTTGGATCTGGGCGCATTTTCCAATTTCAGATTTTTTATTGGGATTTTTGGGTTTTATAGTATCAGATTCGGATCTGATTTCTCTTTTTCACAATCATATGGAGATTTGACTTTGGCTCCGATTTGAGGATCGATCTTATGTTAATCTGTAATGATTCTATTTGGATCGGAGAAGAAAAAAAGCAACCATTTTTTTTTACATTTCTTTCTGTTTTTTGATTGGTTTAAAGATTCTGACATCGATTTCGGTATTTTCTACAGATTATTAATTTGGGTTTTGAATCGGAGCTAGAAAATTTTCCAACTTTGGAAGATTTTGAGGATGATGTTGTTGTTATATAGTTTTGATTGTTTGAAGATTTGATGGCCAAAATAATAAAGAGATGGAGATTCTTTTGGAGCAACAGTCGAAATCTGTGTCCGGATACTGGGACAAGAGTTGCCCAATTAAGCAAGACTTGCTTTTGATACTTGAAGAAGAAGAAGAAGAGTCTTGACAAAATTTGTTGTTTGTATTGCAATAGGTTTCTTTGTTTTTTGGTTGGGGTTGGATTCTTTGTATCGAAATAGGTTTTTAAACATTAATGGCTGCGGAAGAACATTCGAATAAGAGGAGAGAAGTCTCTGCTTCTGCTTCTGTAGTTGTGAATTTGATGGTAGGAGAGGAGAACGATGGTCATCGCCTCAGGTTGGGATCTACTGACTCGCTTCTCCCTGGTCTTATCGATGACGTTGCTCTTAATTGTCTTGCTTGGGTTCCGAGGTCAGATTATCCTTCCTTGTCATGTGTCAACAAGAAGTACAATAAGTTGATCAACGATGGTCATTTGTTTGCTCTGAGAAAAGAATTGGGGATAGTGGAGTATCTTGTTTTCATGGTTTGCGACCCGAGAGGTTGGTTGATGTTTTCTCCTATGAAAAAGAAGTGGATGGTGTTACCTAAAATGCCATGTGACGACTGCTTCAACCTCGCCGATAAAGAGTCTTTGGCTGTAGATGACGAGCTTTTGGTTTTCGGGAGAGAGTTGTTTCAGTTTGTGATTTGGAAATACAGTTTGAGGTCTCGGTGTTGGGTCAAATGCGAAGGAATGCATCGTCCTCGCTGCTTGTTTGCATCAGGAAGCCTCGGTGGAATTGCTATAGTTGCGGGAGGGACTGATATGAATGGGAATATATTAGCATCAGCTGAGCTTTATGATTCTTCGTCAGGGAGATGGGAAATGCTTCCCAATATGCATTCCCCTCGAAGACTGTGCTCGGGATTTTTCATGGACGGGAAATTCTATGTGATTGGAGGCATGTCGAGCCCGAATGTATCAGTTACTTTTGGGGAGGAATTTGATCTGGAGACAAGGAAATGGAGGAAGATAGAAGGAATGTATCCAAATGTGAACCGAGCAGCACAGGCTCCACCTCTTGTTGTAGTGGTTAACAACGAGCTATTCACGCTCGAGTACTCAACCAATATGGTGAAGAAGTATGATAAGGTGAAGAACAAATGGGAAGTGATGGGAAGATTACCGCCGATGGTGGACTCGTCAAACGGTTGGGGACTGGCGTTTAAACCGTGCGGGGACCAATTGTTGGTGTTTTGTGGGCAACGAGGTCCTCACGGCGAGGGCATTGTGGTGAATTCTTGGTGTCCGAAAGCAGGAGCTAAAGATGGAAACTTGGATTGGAAAGTGCTTGGAGTTAAAGAAAATGTTGGTGTGTTTGTGTATAACTGCGCAGTGATGGGTTGTTAAAAAAGAAACCATCTTTGTTTCTTCAACTTGGAAAGTTGGGTGTTCTTCTTCTTCTACTTTTCTATTGACTGGTCTTTTGTTTTTGCTATTGGGATTATTATAATGCTTTATGTGTTTGTTCTGCGTTTAATTTGTGGGTAAATTGGAAAAAGAAAGAAGAGAAAATTCATTACGCTGCAAAATGTTTTCCCTGTTTTTTACTTTTAAAATTCATCGTTTACTCGAATGGAAAGAGAAAAGAGTTGGATTGTTGTGAATAGTGAAAATACTAAATCTGCGTTTTTGTAGTGATAACTTAGATATAAGTCATTTTCATACGTGAAAGCAATAGGAGATTGATGATCCTATGACTAATCTTTGGTCCTACACGCCCCAAAGCCGGATGCATTAGGAATTTACTAAGTTGCATGGAATCAGAAGCGGGTGCGGGGAAGCGAAGCGTTTGGAAACGTGGAAGCGATTTTTTCAAAAATTTATTATATGGGTACGTTTTGGAAGCGTGTAATATATATATATATATATATATATATATATATAATCAAATGTGATTAAATAACTCAAATGTGATTAAATAACTCTTGTCTTAAATAAAAGAGATCCAATACTTAATTAAGTTGATTAGAGATTAAAAAAAAACATAACGCATAAGTCAAAGATTTGGACCATCGTCTTCCTTTTCATTTTCATCACCATTAGCAAACACTCTCAACAACTCACTTAACGCTTAGTTATACTTGGACATTATAATTACTTCTACGAATGGGCTTTAGTTAGACCCATTAGACAACACCTTTCTTCTGTTGGGCCACACCTTAACCACTTAGGCCCACTCCATCTCTTAACTCAAAACACATCTTCTTTTTACGTTGACTCCTTCTTCTTCTTTAGTTGACCTCTCTTCTTCTTCAACCATGACAACTTCTTCTTCTTGTTCTACTTCAGAACTTCCTTGTTCTTCATCATCACTAACCTAGCTTTCTCTTTTGCAGGGCCAATCAAATGGGTCAATCCCAACAAGAGTTTTGCCAAAGACGAAATTTAGCCACGATTGGTATTCTCTTGTTTAGTAAACTGTAATTAGGGTTTTTTAATTTCATATTTAATTAAGAAATACAAAAAATATATCACGCTTCCTAAATATTTCCTTAATAACGATTCCAAAATCAGAATCGCATAAAAATAGAACGCTTCCTAAACGGAATCATAGCTTTCAAAACGCTTCTGATTTCCTTTTTTTCGGAATCGCGCTTCCACCACGCTTCCGGGCGCTTCCTGAAGCTTCCGATTCCGTTTTAGCTTCCGAAGCGGGAATCGGACTACGGACGGAGCTTCCGTGCTTCCTAGGGAATTTATGATCATTTAACAAAACAATAATACGGTTTGTTTCGAGGGTGAGAATTTAATGCAGTCAAGATCTTTTTTTCGAATAGTACGTACTACAAACAAAGTAGTCTGAAAAATTTCAGTGAGCTGATAAAGTATTCATGTGATCCTTATTTTTGCAGTCATCAGTACACATTTGGAATCTTGGGGTAAGTTCGATGTGGTACAACTTAGTTCATAAATCTTTATTTTTATTTTATTTTTCTTATTTTGTGAAATATTTTCTTGGGAAAGTATAATGTAAAATTTGCTAACGACAAAAGAAAACATAATGTACTAGTACTTGTTAAGTTATTAGGCCGCTCTCAAGTCAACTACTACACCCACAAAGATATTGCAGCTTCATGATTCATATTCTTAGCCCATTATTAAAAAACGGGCTTTTTGATCGGATGTGGACTTTAAACTCGACAGGTCTGCAAGAACTACAAGTCACAAGTAGATCGGCTTGTAACTTTGTAAGCTAAAAAAAAAAAAAAAGAGAGAGGATAATGACGCGTCGAATCTGATGGATTGGATTATCGCGTTTACATGACTTGTAGTATTTACAATTTTCCAATTTGGTCATGTATTCCCCAAGGGACCAACCTAGTTTTTGCAATTTTGCATGCATGAAAGTTAACATCAAATATTATCTAGTGTCATGGAAGTTATAAAAAAATCCACTATATTTATGGATTTCTTTAGAGGTGATGGAATGGAAACTATCATTTTAAGAAAAAATACCATATTTTTGATAAAGACAACCAAAATACTGTTATCACAAAACAATAACTCATCCTATCTTCTTTTTTTTTTTTTTTTGTGGATAAAGTTAAAGGTTTTACTATTGAACCTATCTTGAAAACTATAAGAACTAAAATGCTAATAAATACGGATAGTCCAATAAAATTAAAAAAAAAAAAGCTTTTGTCAGGACTCAGGTGATATAATCTTCAAGAATGTATACTTTAAGATTTAATTTTCCAGAAGAAAAGACAAAATTTTATGGCTGTGTCAAAAACCCACTTAGATCATTTGTACGTAGGCGGCATTTAAGTGTACTTATTATAAAGAATCTTCTAGTTGATTCCTTCTCCCCAACAATGTGGGTCTTCGAGCTAGCTTGACCTCAGGTTTAATACACACACTTCGTTTGTATGATTTATTACATATATATATATATATGGGTAGTTCACGATTCATGCACCTGCGATAAGTGCAAAACTGTGCACCTGCGATAAGTGCAAAACTGTAAACCCTATACATTACCAAGAGATGTCGTCATAAGTCAATATATGTAGTCCTAATACATACTAATCCTATAACCACTTCAGAAAAGTAATAATGAACCAACCTATAATAATGTACATATGTAGAGAGAGCGAGATTGCCTACCAATTAATTTGCTTTAGCTTTGCCTTTTGTGTAGGCCAATTCTGGTTGGTTTGGATCACTTTGGTACGCTACTTTCACGTAATCGGTAGGTTTGGCCATTCAGATATAAAAACATCCATATCAGAATACTCGATTTAGTTCATTTTCCTTTACATGCATAACTGGAAATATATCAGTTAATAGAATTTTGTGTTTTTGTCAAGGAAATAGAATTTTGTTTCTAGAAATAAAATTTATTCTCTTTAAGCTACATGAAATTTTCACAACAAATTAAATTGGGAACTTTCACAAATTTTTGTGTATATTCACAATTTTTTTGAAACAAAAATCAATAATGATCGATTACGTATTATTTTATGTTAAACTACTACACCATCAATTCTTTAACAAAAAAAAAAAACTACTACACCATCAATTTGTGCCACCCTTTAAACCTACGCCGATTTATTAGAAGCTTCCAATAACATAACAAATCTAGTGAAATTAGTGTGTTAGTCACTTAGTCTATACATATAAAAAAGGGATTATTGTTTAAAATGTCCTTTTTTGGGAAAAACTTATGAAAATGCCCTTTTTTGAATAGTTTACGGATTTTGCCCTTTTTTAACACTTAAAAATGTACGTATTTAGGATTTTTTTTTTCCAAAAATACGTACTTTATACCAAATACTAAACCCTAAGAACAAATGGAACCGACTAAACCCAAACATAACGAGTGAAACGCATGTTAAATCATATTTTTGGAGCATGAAAAAGGGCAAAATGCATAAACTATTCAAAAAAGGGCAAAATCTACAAATGCCCTTATGAAAAAGGACAAAATCCATAATTTATTCTATAAAAAATATAAAGACCGAGTTAGAATTTGGAAACATATAGGAAAAAAATTGTTTAGTTGTGTTTGCATTTGAAAGCAAGTTAGGGAAAAAAAAATCACCTAAAATCAAGTAAAATAAAAAATGATATTATTAAATGAAAAATGATAGGCTGTTATTTAAACATATTAATATTTTTAATGTGCTAGATATCTAATTAAACTCCTATATACAATGACTCATATTTTACACTTTTTATGTTTGGTACTGTAGAATATTATTTCGTTACCACACTTACTTAGCAAAATTTAGAAATGAGTGAGAATTAAATGGAGAGAAACAAAAAAAAATTCTTCAATAGAAATGCAAATTAAAAGCTTCAATCTAACACCTCCGATAAAGAGGCTGGTTTTGAATTCAAGTCAAAAATTAGCTTTATTGATGAGTGATTACTTCTGCAATGTTTTTAAAAAGCAGAGATTCTTCCTAAGAAACAAAATATGTAAACTAAAGTCACCTTTATTTTAGGCATCATTTTAAAGCCGAATTCAAATAAAATATCGACTTTCTCCTTCTTTAAAATCAGCATTTACGAAGAATGTTTGTAGAACACACAAAAAAATGACTAACTTTTTTTTTATAGGTTATGTATGTTTGTGGCTATTCATTATCAAAGAAATATAAGCGGTCACCAGAAAAGCATTGCATGTCAAAATATACTGCATTTATCATCCCTTATATATTTATTGAAAATCATTTTTAAAAAATAACCTTACTTTTCATGTGTGATTAACGAAAATATCATGCTAACGTATCATTCTCATAGATCTTCTTAATCTATTTAGTTAACAACCCAATATTTATTAGGATATTTACAGATTTTGCCATTAGTTTTACTTATGTTTATTTTTTCAAATTAATTTATACTCTTTATTTTTCTCAATTAATAAAACGAAAATATAGTTAAAATATGTAATTAAGAGATACAAATCTATACAAAATAGAGTATCTAATATTTTATGTATCTATTTATATAACAAGATATATATCATAAATCATGATAAAAATAAAATTTAATACATAACGAAAATTTTCAATCTTGATAATTATTAATACACGGCTGGTTATCTAATAATATAAAATTTGAACACTTTCAATATTATCAATATATTAAAATATCTTTAATAATCGTTTTGTTCCGCACATAATACAGGATATTATCTAGTAAATGATAAAAAGTGATAAATAATCATTTTTATTGGCCTAAACTGTGTAGATTATTGTAAGAAAATTTGTATGCAAGGGAATACTAAATTTTGTTATCCTTTTATTTATTTATATATAAATGGAATAACTGGGTAAATATTCAGCTTGGAGTGTATATTAAAATGAATTAAAGGAAAACAAAAGGTTAAAAAAATTGTCAGGCCAGAGCATATTTTATCATTTTAATGGTTATAGTATAGAATAATTATTTAATGAGATAACGTATTATCTGCACCCACGTAACTAAGCATAAACTTCACGCATGATCGTGATGTATGAACATTCCGATCTCTAAGTACTTAACACCAACCAAGCAAAAGTTAAACCTAATGCATCACTAGCAAACTTTAATGTTATAAATATCAAAATTCCTTACAAAAATACTAATACGAATCTTGCCACAATTTATGTAATTATATCTAGTCATATTATGTTATTTAATAGTTTTCACTTTATACAGTTAAATCTAGTAAACATTGCGCTTGGAAAAGTGTAAATATTTTCACAACACACTTTCGTAAATGTTAACAAACATAGAGCAAACACAATTTTTAACATCAAACAAAGAAAAAAATAGAGAAAATAAACTTGAGTGTTTTTTAAAAATTAAATATAGTAGAATGAGATTATTATAGGAATTAGGTTAACCCGCCTAATAAATGTCCCGTCCAGCTAATCCAAAACTATGTTAATTGTAATTTAAATTTGATACATCAAACCTATTTCTGGAAAATGATTTTTTTTTTTTTGGGGTCAAAACTAGTTCCTCTTTGGAAACCGTGACACGGTTCTAGTGACTAATACACATGAGAACTAGAATACAAATGCAGGTGTTACATCAAACTTGAGTGATATCAAAAAGAGATTTAATTGAATTGAATAGAAAAAAGGAGAAGAAAGCCACTAATCACTATGATAGTACACATGTCACACAATCACAGTTATACACAAAATGTAAATTACATCATTTCGTTCGTCTTATCAAATTGTGCCGCGCCGCATCATATAACACGCAGCATTCACTATTTTTTGTTTTTAGTGTCAAATTGGTAGGATTATGTTAATGATTTTTGTTTATCTCTATAGAAAACTATACTAGTATCTTTTTAACTAAATCAAATGCCGTGACAGAAAATACAGATAAGTCAAATTTTCAATAATAAATAAAAAGTTTACAAATTATCAAAAATATATAAATTTGTACTTTATGATTGAATTAATTATTTAAAGTTTTAATTTGTATTTTGTCACTACTAAACATATTTTGTCACTACTAAACATATTTGTTCTGTTTATAGCATTACAAATATTCAAAGCCTAGGCTAAAAAAATTACAGATTAATTAAAATTTATAAGCCGACACAAGTGACTTATCCAGAATTTATTTTGAAAATTTACATCAAATGGCAAAAAACCAAAAAACGAAAAAAACTCGTAATACTTTTTAGCCTTTTAGGCAAGAAGATGATGAAAATACGAGAGAAGTGAGAAGTAGGCCCATCTCTCTCTTGTGAGAATCATGCTTTTCTCTCTCTCTTCTCTTGCAGTCCTTCCTTTTTCTCATTCTTCTTCTTCCCCATTTACAGCCCAATTCCACTATCTTCCTCATCATCATCATAATAAGCACTAATCTCGAGAAGATAAAGAGACAACAATCACCTCTCTCTCTCTCTCTCTCTGTCACTTTTGTTTCTTCCGTTTCAAAGTTTCTTCCTTTTGGGCGGGTTTTAAGGAAATTTTGGAACTTTTCTCTTTTTGGAGACGTTTCTTAGATTTCTGGGCTTCTTCTAGTTGTTTTCTACTTCTAGCTACTGTGTCACGCTTTTCTCTAGCAAAAACTTTGATGCTTCTTAATATAAGAAGATTATTCTGAGATTTTTCTCTGGCCTTCTAAATTATTAAAGTCTTCTTTTTTATATCTATTGTTAAGGTTTGGCTTCGTTGTCTCTTCCTCTTACCTCTGCTTTTTGGTGCAGAGTTTTTGAATTTTGGGAATATTAAAGGTTGCCTGAGAACTGAAATCAATCTCTTGCTGTATGTTTGTATAGTGATGGGTACTGAAGAGAAGCCTCTTAATTCTCTTGATTCAAGTCATGGTGATTCTTCCCCTGCTTCAAATCAGGTACATATACTAATACATACACATCAAATTTATGTATCTATGCAAAGTATTGATCTTTGGTTTCAAAGATTTGAACTTTGAATGAATTAGATGTGTCTATTGAATGGAATTGAGAAGATTAGAGTTTTTGTTGTGCTAATTGCTTGGCATGTTTGAAAATTTCATGCTTTTGGTTTTGGAGCAGATCAAATCTCTGATTAGTGTTGTTAGTTTCATGATCCAAGTGATTACTTCTCTTGATAAATTGATGTGTTGTTTGAATTCTCATAGAACTCTTTTGTTACTTTCATCTTTGTTTTTGATGAGAAGGCTGAAGGATCATCTGCTATAACAGAAGAGACTTCTGCAAATGTTCAACAATGGAGGCGAAAGAACCTCTCTTTACAGATACCCTCTAGAGCAGCTGGTCTCTCTCCTGAAGATTCGGTTGTTATCAAAATGCCTCCAACGCCTAGTCCAACTCCGAGAAGAGTCAACTTTTCTTTGACTTCTAGTTCTCCAGGTCCTACTCCTACTTCTTCTTCTGTTCTTCCGCGTGGCAAATCGTCCTTGAAGAATCTATTGCCAAAAGCTGGGTGTAAACCAAAAATCTCTAACACCGATATCGAGAAGGGACAAGGGAATGCCTGTTCTCCTTCTGCATCCCAGGAGAAGGCTTCGATATCGAGGTCATTATCACTTTCAAAGTTATTTACACCTAGGATCAAGAGAACATCATCTCTACCTGTGACTCCCATTATTCTTTCAAACTCAGAGTCAGCTCACGGAGGAACCAGTGTTGCTCCTCAAACTCCAAACGTAAGCTTTGTCATGTACCATTTCAGAGAACCTTACGATTGTTTAGGTACTTATACTTGGTATTGCAGAGAAAAGGGAGTGTGCACATAGCTCGCTCTCGCTCTGTGCCTCTTAATGACAAGGAATTAAGCCTAAAGGGAATGGATTCATTCTTCAGAGTAATTCCTTCGACTCCTCGTGTAAAGGAAGGAGATGTTTTCTCAAATGCATCAGAGGCTGGTACTACTGGTAAGTTCACGTTTCAATCGGTTATATGATTTCTTTTTCTTCGGAGACATTAATTTACTGGACACAACAAATCTATGTATTGAACAGAAACAGGTGATGCTGATGGAGAAGACATACCTGAGGATGAAGCCGTTTGTAGGATTTGTTTGGTAGAGCTCTGTGAGGGAGGAGAAACCTTAAAAATGGAGTGTAGTTGCAAAGGAGAACTTGCTCTTGCCCACAAAGATTGTGCTCTTAAATGGTTCACCATAAAGGGTAACAAGACTTGTGAGGTGTGTAAACAAGAAGTTAAGAACTTACCTGTAACACTCTTACGGATCCAAAGCCTTCGAAATTCTGGTGTTCCTCAGCTAGATGTCTCTGGCTACAGGTAAAAATACTCCTCATTTCTCATTTTTGTACAAATTTTCTGTAAGATTTAAACTTAACAGAGTATTCAAACTTTCTTTTGGTTAAATAGTAAGCTTCACCTAAATCTCTGCATAATTTTTCAACAGGGTTTGGCAGGAGGTGCCAGTTCTAGTAATCATTAGCATGCTCGCTTACTTCTGCTTCCTCGAGCAGCTCCTGGTAATCCGTCTCTACTGTTTATAAGCACCCTTAACAACAACTAGCATCCGGATTTAGACATACATATACTACAGATAGATATCTATAACAGTAAGTTTCATTTGTAGGTTGAGAAAATGGGTACAGGTGCAATCGCGATATCGCTGCCGTTTTCTTGTATTCTTGGTCTTCTTGCATCCATGACCGCATCAACCATGGGTATGTCTTCTTTTAGAAAATACTCTTGCCAAAGTGCTCCTCCACTCTGATCCGTTTTTAGTTCTGGAATATTCCTATGCAGTAATGAGAAGATTTGTCTGGATTTACGCATCTGTCCAGTTTGCGTTGGTTGTTCTCTTCGCCCATATATTTTACTCTGTGGTTAGTGCTCTTCAACACATCTTTTTTTCCTTCCCTTGTGAGACATAATAATTGAACATGGTGCAATGCACATCCTTAAAGCTAAAAGGACTCCTGAGCTTTTGGTTTAGCCGATATGGATCAAGACGTTTGAGAACCTTTATCATATATAATATCAGTCTATAAACTCAAAATTTGTGTTGCTAAAGTTCGATCTCTCGGTGGTAACAGGTGAAGTTGCAACCAGTACTGTCAGTTCTTCTGTCAACATTTGCTGGATTTGGTGTATGCATATGCGGAAGTTCAGTGATGGTTGAGTTTGTGAGATGGAGACGAAGATGGCGAGCCAGAAGGCTAGAGCAACAGCTGAACCAGGCTCAGACACCGCCCCAACCGCTGGATCCAACCTCCTCTCTGCATCATTCAAATGCCTCATAGAGCCCAGAAGTGGAAAGAAGATTTTACATTTATACAGTAGTTTGGTTAATGTTATGCAATGATTTGTATAAAAGAAAAGAGAAAGTGATCAAGGAATGCTTAAAGATTGTTTCCTTTGCTTGTTTCGCTTCTTTACATATTTGTATCTTTGATTTGCTCAATCTCTGCAAATGAAATGTTTGTAGTAGTATTGTATTTTAAACTCTCTTCTTTGTATAATAAAAAGATTTACTCTTTGTTCAAAAAAAAAAAAAAAAAAAAGATTTACTCATAATCAAATGGAACAAATGGGTCACGAGGTAATCACGTGCCAATTTCCTGAAAACTCTTCTTCCCTGTTTCTGACTCAGGCTTAAGTCTTCGTTCTTCTTCTCGACGACGACGGTGTCGAGATTATTATTACTTGCAATGAATCTCTCCACGAGGCTCGCTGAGAAACTTCCTGGAATCTTACCGGCGCCGTCTTCTCCTCTTCTACGTAAAGGTTGGTTCTTTTTAATCTGTTCTGTGTTTGGTTCACGTCTTTTTGGAAATTGCTTGTTTGGTTTGGATTCAATTTAAAGGGAAATCTTTTCTGGGTTTCTCCTCGTCTGTTTGATTTGTCTCTGAGTGATGAAGGAAACTTTCGTGTTCAGTATCTCTCTACCTCTTATCTTTACTAGGTTTTAGGTCGTAAGGTTCAATCTCAAATTCACAAGCTAATGAGGGGGTTTGTCAAATTTTTCTTCTCATGTGTGTATTTAGGAATCTCCGAGTTAAGATGCTTTTCAATTGCTAACCACAGTAGAAGACTGAGATGGGGATTACAAAAGAAGATGGTTTGGAGTTTGGAGAGAGCTGAGACCTGTGTAGTTAGCAATTCATGTTTAGTTCATCCTGCAACTGAAGCCTATGCACAAGAAGCTATTGAAGCTATTAAATCCGAGAAAGTTATCGCCGTGCCTACCGATACGCTTTATGGCTTCGCTTGTGATGCTTGGTAATTGAAAAATCTTCACTTTGTTAGCTGAAGTAAGCTCTTACATTGCCTGGACTGAGTTGTGATTTATATGAACATTAACAGTTCTTTAGAAGCAGTTAACCGGATATATGAGATCAAAGGGCGTAAACTTACAAGCCCTTTAGCCATCTGCGTTGGTGATGTATTAGATATTAAGAGAGTTGCTACAACTAACCACTTACCTCACGGTTTACTCGATTCGCTCTTGCCCGGTCCTGTCACTATTGTACTTCAGCGAGGTTTGAATTGAATTGTCTTCTTAATGTGGTTGCATATGATATGATCTCTTTTATGTGAGAGTGTTCTTGTAGTGTTTTAAACAGGTGAATCAAGCATTCTTGAAAAGTCCTTGAACCCTGGGATTGGTACTATTGGAGTACGGGTTCCAGATTGCGAATTCATTAGAGAAGTGTCGAGAGGTTCGGGAAGTGTGTTGGCTCTTACAAGTGCTAACCTAAGCGGTGATAGAAGCAGCGTTTGTGTTAAAGATTTTGAGAATCTTTGGCAGCATTGTGCTTATGTCTATGATGGTGGTTTGCTTCCATCGGGTCGCGCTGGATCTACAATTGTCGATCTGACGAAAGCCGGAAAGTATAAGATCATTAGACCCGGAAGGTATGCAATAGTTGATTAGATCAATCCATGCGGAGTAATGAATCTAAAGTCTGAATATTTGTTGGGTTCTTGAACTAAAATGACTTAAAATAATGTTGCTTTTGTTGTTGATTTAGCGCGAAGCAAGCAACAGTGGTGATTCTTGAAAAGTATTTGCTGGAAGAAGAAGAAGAAGAAGAAGAAGACCGTTAAGAGAAGAAAGCTTATAACACACTGAATCTGAGGTTTTGTTTTGGTTCTTAGCGTATGCAAATGCTACCTATAATTTTCATGGTACGCATGTGTAATTTAAAGAAACTTGGTGGACCGTTTCATAATTTTTACTTTTTAAGTTTCATATTATTGCTCCATTTGGAAAATGAACTTTGTTGTAATTTTATAAAAATTTATCAAATAATATGGAAAATTTTCCTATTTTTAAGAACAACACATTATTGTATCCATATTTTTTCTTATAAAAGGTGTCAATTGTTCAATAAAGGAAAATCTCTCGAATTTGTTTTATAGAGTGTCAAAGTTGAAGAAAAGATAAGTAGAGGACCTCAAATATCATTTTTCACGTATCCGTGTTCTAATTTTATTCCAAATCTGCTAAAACATTTGGACTATAAAAATGTCATTGGTCTTGGCTGTTTCTATCTAACACAACACACTCTTATTATCCACAGTTTCTGTCACCACCAAGACCAAGCTTCTTCATATGCGAAAATCATCAATCCCTCTCAAACTCTTCTCACCACTAATTTCTTCCTCTCGAACATTCTCTTCTCTATTTTTTTTTTTTTGATTCCTTGGCTTCAACACTGGTTTCTCTATTGCGTGATCTTGGCTTGCCTTCAGGTAAAGGCTTTTCTCAAATTGGTTATTGGGTCTGGTTCGATTAGTTTCTGTGTTATTTCATCGGGGAAAGAAGATAATTTAGTTGGGTAATTCTGGGTTTTGTGGAATTTTTTGTTGATTTTTGCTTCAGAATCAGAATTTGAAGCTAAAAAGAGTTCTGCTTTATTATCCAATTGCCATGATCTTCACAGTAACCAAAATGGATTTAGGAAGATTATCAAAGTCAGCTAATTTTGTTATGTGACTATGCAGTTACTTTGATTCACTGAGAAAAAAATGGCGACTGGAGTATTGCCAGCTCCGGTTTCCGGGGTCAAGGTCCCGGATTCGAAACTCGGGTTTGGTAAAAGCATGAATCTTGCGAGGATTTGTGATGTTAGGAGTCTAAGATCTGCTAGAAGAAGAGTTTCGGTTATCCGGAATTCAAACCAAGGCTCTGATGTAGCCGAGCTTCAACCTGCATCAGAAGGAAGCCCTCTCTTAGGTAGACCGTAGATGCATGCAAATTTATCATCTTTTAGCTTTGTTCGAGTTTTCATTTCGGTGAAAAGATTGTTTGTTATACTGGCTTTGTAGTGCCAAGACAGAAATATTGTGAATCATTGCATAAGACGGTGAGAAGGAAGACTCGTACTGTTATGGTTGGAAATGTCGCCCTTGGAAGCGAACATCCGATAAGGATTCAAACTATGACTACTTCGGATACAAAAGATATTGCTGGAACTGTTGATGAGGTTTTTCCATCTGTCCTTTCAAATCTATTTGCAGTTTGAAAATGTTGCTTCGATTTCTTGATTTGTGGGCTAAATGCCTATGTATATGCCTTCCATATTTGGAAAATTTGGGTGTCCGATGTCTGAATGATGTTGCGTCGTAAGTTTATGACTGTTCCATTGATATTATAGAGACACATGTTGTTTGTTCTGTGATATATAGGTTATGAGGATAGCGGATAGAGGGGCTGATATTGTGAGGATAACTGTTCAAGGGAAGAAAGAGGCGGATGCGTGCTTCGAAATAAAAGATAAACTTGTTCAGCTTAAGTAAGTCGATGGCCACACTAGTTTTCTCTACGTTTGTTTGTGGGATTATAATGTAGTATGAAACTGAATTGGTTTTTGCTTGTTGGTTACAGTTACAATATACCGCTGGTTGCAGATATTCATTTTGCCCCTGCTGTAGCCTTACGAGTCGCTGAATGCTTTGACAAGATCCGTGTCAACCCTGGAAATTTTGGTATGATTTATTTTTGTCTTGCACTTGTTTCTTTAACTCGAGAATGAATGAATTTTTCCTTTGCAGCGGACAGGCGGGCCCAGTTTGAGACGATAGAATATACAGAAGATGAATATCAGAAAGAACTCCAGCATATCGAGCAGGTGGAAGGAAGCCTTTGCTTCACTTGTTTTGTGAAGCTAGTTAGTGATAATCATTCCTAACTAACGGTGCTACTCTTTTTCTTTAGGTCTTCACTCCTTTGGTTGAGAAATGCAAAAAGTACGGGAGAGCAATGCGTATAGGGACAAATCATGGAAGTCTTTCTGACCGTATCATGAGTTATTACGGGGATTCTCCGCGAGGAATGGTGAAATACCTTAAAGCTTTTGAAACAGTTTCTCTTCTTACACATGAGCTGTTTTCTGACCTGAGTTCTGTCACAGGTTGAATCTGCGTTTGAGTTTGCAAGAATATGTCGGAAATTAGACTATCACAACTTTGTTTTCTCAATGAAAGCGAGCAACCCAGTGATCATGGTCCAGGCGTACCGTTTACTTGTGGCTGAGATGTATGTTCATGGATGGGATTATCCTTTGCATTTGGGAGTTACTGAGGCAGGAGAAGGCGAAGATGGACGGATGAAATCTGCGATTGGAATTGGGACGCTTCTTCAGGTACTTCATTACATAGCAAAAGGTAAGATCTTTCCTTTACAGTCATGTGTGACAATGATTGTTTGTAATCGCAGGACGGGCTCGGTGACACAATAAGAGTATCACTGACGGAGCCACCAGAAGAGGAGATAGATCCCTGCAGGCGATTGGCCAACCTGGGGATAAAAGCTGCCGAACTTCAACAAGGCGTTGTATGAATAATTCTTAATCAGATGCTTCTCTAGTTTCCCCTTTATGGGACTAATGCAACCCTTTTTGTGTGTTAGGCACCGTTTGAAGAAAAGCATAGGCATTACTTTGATTTTCAGCGTCGGACGGGTGATCTACCTGTACAAAAAGAGGTAAGACTGTACATTTTGAAAGAAAAGTTTCATGTACTTCATGATGCCGTTTTCAAGTATTGAGAAAATATGAAGTGATTCGTCCTGAAACTATAGGGAGAAGAGGTTGATTACAGAAATGTCCTTCACCGTGATGGTTCTGTTCTGATGTCGATTTCTCTGGATCAACTAAAGGTGAGTCTTGATAAATACTCTTCAGTCTTCTCTTCTTCTTCTTCTATTTCTTTAACGCAAAATGTAAAGCGGATGATTGTTTTTCTGCTCACTACTTTGGTTTCTGTCTAGGCACCTGAACTCCTCTACAGATCGCTCGCTACAAAACTTGTCGTGGGTATGCCATTCAAGGTAAGATATGGTTCAATATATTTTCATGAGAGATGCAGTCTCACTGTAAGAATTTGATATTGGTTCCCAATTCTGACTTTCCGGAGTGCTTATATAGGATCTGGCAACTGTTGATTCAATCTTATTAAGAGAGCTACCGCCTGTAGATGATCATATGGCTGTAAGAATCACCCTTTCATCTCCATATCGTTT